ACAGCAGGAAAGGGGGGGAGGAGGTGTTTGGTTTTAATAATACTTTTTTTTCCGAATGGGGAAGGAGATAACAAAGAGCGAAAAGAGTGGACGGGAGACAGGTGGTGTAGGCATTATAAAGTAGCAGTGAATATATAATTCTTTCGCTTGTTGTTTTTTCTTTTTACTCTTTTCTAGTTACTCTTCTTGTTTTAGACGACTACATAACCTATCAAGTACCGCTATACGTTAGTGGGTAGCACTTAGTAGCTTCCACGTGTCGCTAGCTACACTTGCTTTAACTATATAATAATATAGGACCCGTAAATCTAGGTCTTTTGTATTACATAGATATAAATACGAGTTAACCTAATATTAAGAGTATTCCATCTATAATTACACAATTATTAGCATTTATTCTAGTGAGCTGGTATTATAAAGCTATCATTAGCCATTTATCTTGTTTGTAGTAGAATCCGGAATAGAGCTATACAAAATTCTCCTATAATATGCGTATCCCTCCCAGACACCAGAGTTGCAAGAAGACGTGCACTTAAGATGGAGTAATTGTATCCACTTGTACGAATTTTGAACTTCTACGGACATAACTTCCCATCCGCCAACCCCAACAGCAGTCAGTCCTCTGTCCTTTTTTTCTTCTCAAGGATTATTATATCCAAGTTTGAGTTGATAAAACTGACAACACTTCGAGTATTTATGTAGTTAAGTAGCATCCATACATTTCACCACTTTCGTTGTCGCCCTTCTAAGTATTTTCACTATGGCACTTACTCGTCATAGCACTGGAAACCACAAGATTCTTACACACTCAAATCTCAGGATTCTGTAGCGACATGATCTCAACCCATCGTCTCAACCCAGGAAGAGATACCCAGAGCAAAGTACGACGCTACTATTTCCTCTCCCTGTAGTCCTATGAAAATATGCTCAACGAAGGACTCCAACAAAAAAGCCAGGGAAGAATAACCTGCACCAACAAAATAGGTCAAAAGTAGAGGGACCTTAATAATAACATTAACAAAATACAAACGTCTTGATGCAAACTTTTTCCTCACCACGGACAACCCTCTACCTCTTATTAGCACGAAAAGAAGAGAGATCTCACATCAAAATCAAAGCCCCCCAGTTAATTCAATCAAGGCCAGAGCTTTGTATGAATATCCACTTCTACGCTCTGAGGATAACCGCCTCGCAATTGTAATAAAAAGCTATCTTACTCAAAAACACTCTTCTAAATCCTTGAGAGGATAAGAAGCATGACTGTTGCGCTCAATACTGCTACGCTTCAAGATCGTACTGCCTTGAATGCCTCGTATAACTATTGAATTATGCGAATGCTTTCATACAGTATGATGAAGACTTTCCATTTCTCACCGACCCAGCCTACTATACAAGGATAAAAGAATTCCTTATACCAACCTTTCCCATAAAGAATTTTGTATTGTGCGGAGAGCCCTAGAGATAACAAATTAAATCTATACCTCCCTCACAACCATCCCCCCAAATACCACCTCAACAAACCCAACCCCCAAACCCCTCCACAACTTCACCTCAAGACTTCCTACACGCGTGACGTTAACTCCCCACCCCCNCCCAAATACCACCTCAACAAACCCAACCCCCAAACCCCTCCACAACTTCACCTCAAGACTTCCTACACGCGTGACGTTAACTCCCCACCCCCAATCCCCCTAATAGTGAATCCCCCTAATAGCGAATCCCCCTAATAGTGAATCCCCCTCGCAACCATTTGTTGCACATCGCACAACTACTCGACGTCCAAACAACCCAATAGGAACCCTCGAGCCCTCGCTAAAAATCGCGCTAGTGCGAGTGAATACCCTGGTACCCCTGTACCCCGCACTCTCGATATCAAAGAAGAGTCTTGAGGGATTTGTGTTGGAGCCGCGAAGAAGGGGAAGGGGAAGGTGAATATCACGGCAGTGAGGTGAGGATTTGAGGGTGTGGTGAATGTTTGCAGGGGGGATGGGGTGGAATGGGATGGAATGGATGTGAGAGGATGAAGTGAAGGGAAGTTGACTCTTTTTTTCCGTTTGCTATTATAAATTCTTGAGACTACCATACCGATGCGATTAAGGATCAGAAGCACGGAGAAAGTTTAAGAGCCAGGAATCCCGAAGATATGTTGTAATTCAAGAACCTCATAACCTCATTTCCCTCAACTCCCAGCTTACCTCCCACCACCCTACCACAGAATAGTACTCCCATCATAACTCACAAAAGTGCCCGTATTCCCTTTATTCGCATTATCAATCTATCCACTCCCCCATCAGTCAGTCACACCTCAAGAAATCCACATATAAACCAAAAGGACACCAACGAACCTGTTCCAGAACCCCCTTAACACTCTCCTCCACCCCCATAGGCGGCTCTTTAACCCCGATACTATCAGCAAAACGCTGTCCATTCCCCGTTTTTACCCATCTGCTTCCAATCAGTCTTTCCCCCTAAGACGAAGAGAGGCAGGAAGAACAAACCCCGGATGTACAGCCCTAGCAACAATACCCACCTCCTCAAAAGCAATCTTCCTCAATAAATAGTTGGCTGCGGCTTTACTTATCCCATACGCCAAACTCGGAATCGCACCTTCCATATCACCAATCGAGCCCAGCGAACTAGATATCAGGATGAATTTCCCCTCNCAAACAAGCAACCCCCTCAACCCCTGAAAAAGCACCAAAACACCCATCATATTACTCCAAAACCCCCCCATCAACGCCTCCAACCCCGTCTCCCTCACACTCTGAAACCCATCCCCAAGACCCGCACACGCAACCACGGTATCAATCCACTTCACACCTTCCATTCTCAGCTGTTCTTTCAACCCCTCTCCTTGGGCTCTCAACGCGCCTGCATTCGTTGGGATATCGAAGTGTACGATTATGAGTTTTGAGCCGGGACCGGTTGGGAGGGCGAGGAGGTCGTCGGTGGGGGTGGAGGTGTTGCGGATTGTGGCGATGATGGTGTGGGAGGGGCGGAGGAGGAGGGTGGATGTGAGGCCGTGGCCGATTCCTGGGGGTGTTAATTGGTGCTGCGAGGCAGGGAGAGGAGATGGTGGAATGGTGGAAGAATGGTGCGAGAACGGTGGGGAAAAATGAAGAAAAGGGGTAGCGAGCACGTGCTCCCACGCTCTCCTCACCCCACAACAACGAAACACAAAGAAAAAAAACATACCCCTATTCGCGCCTGTAACAAGGACAATGGTCTGCTTGGACACTTGCGAAGACATCTCGTACCAATCTGGTGGTTTCTGAGTAGGTAGGTGATGGGTTGGCGCGATCGAAGAAATTGGTTGATAAAGAAAAGAGTGGAAGGAATGAAAGAAGGAAAAGTTCGGCGAGGCAGAATTTAAATCCACGCCATTACTCACGCACTGTTCCCTCGGTGTGATTGGCCCCAATATGTCAGCTCAGCTCTCCACAACCTGAGAAGGGAAGGTCCATGTGTCCCGTGAGCAATTTTGTGTCGTGACACAAAATCGCAATGCGGCCATTAGGCGAGAATTAAGGGGGGAAGTTCACCACGAGAAGACACAACAACACCCGTTAATGGCTCAACAATGCAAACATGAGGACCAAGGCTCAAGTCTAGTAAAAAGGAATATGTAAATATTTATATGCAATAGTAACGACAGCTAATATGTCTTATCTCAAAAACACCATAAAATCACCAAATCGCTATCAAAAGGGTTTCCCTCCCCAACGCCACCCAATGCAACCCTGAACTCACTTTGCTTCTTCCGTGCTCCCCAAAAACATACGTGTTGCCCAAAAGAGACATCAAAACAAGATATGACCCAATGAATCAAATCAACTATCATCTCTTCAACCCAAAGCACCACCCGGACCTATACCGTTCGCCTGGTCTCTCGCATATGCTCCCGCAAAATCAAGCTGGGATAACATCCCATTCACGGAATCAATCTCCGTATTCAAATCGAGGATATTACTCTGTAGGCTCGTGGCCTCGTCAAATTTCCTCCTTTTATTCGCATCCGCAATCATTTCGCTCACGAAAAACCTTTGTTCTTCCAGAATAATCAGTCGCTCCCTCAACTCCTTTTCTTCCGCTTCCATTGCCGAGACAACGCTGCTACCGCTCATCTGCGAAGATGTGTCAATATCATTGTATTTTATGGCAGCTAATGCATTTCGGCCATTATTCGGAAGTCCATTAGAGCCGTGCGGCGATGCATGTTTGAGTATCTTGGGTAACTGTTTAAGTGGTAGCATATGAAGACTGAGAAAATTTGCACTTTGCTGGTAAACCGCTTTTTGGAGTTTCAGCTGTGTTGCGCTTGTAGTCTTCAAATCCCGTATTCTTTTCGCAGTCATGTCGTATTTTCCAAAACTGTCAATAAGCCGTTTTCGCGTTTTGGCTGCTTCGGCTAGCTGCTGTGATGTAGGTGATTTATTAGGATCTTGTAAAACAAAGAGGAGTTTTTGAAAGGTAGGCAATAATAGGCGAATGCCTTTCTCAAACTGAACCAGATTTTCGTAGGAGCGTTGATCTGGTGGTTTATGTAAGACTTCTGCCTGAAAGTTCTTTTTACTAAAAATCGTCGTCTTGCAATCCTTGCACATCCGCACGTCGATATTTAAATCTCCAGATTTTTCTGATAAAACATCAGCCACTATCCTCGGTCAATTAATGACGTCGAAATTGGTATACGAAAACTTACCAGTCGTAACGTTTAGACCAATCTCGGAGGAGCATCCAGTCTGCGGATCGGAGCAGACGACTCGGCCGCACATCCTACAATGATGTCGTCGAAATGACCATGATCCAAATTGTTGTTGACAAAAGGGGCATTTCAACACTTTCGCATCCTCCTCCCAAGTCACAATCGACTGCTCTAGAATCTGTCGCTGATTCTTCCGACCGGCAATTGACAAGATCCCTCCGGTACTGTTCGCCAATTCTTCAGGTGGATTTGCGAGCAGCTGTGTGAGTTTCGTGAGTCTTTTCTCTAGTCTCGAGACCTCCAGATTTGACTTGTCCACAGTCTTTCTTCGCATAGCCATGAAATCCTTGGTGTGATCACGCGAGAGCCCATTATGGTCATTATAACCCTCTCTCGACTTGAAGCAAGTCTCACAAGTCCGACACCAAAATCCGCGTACAGGTTCGTATTGCGCCGACCTGGAAAGTTTCATCTGGTACATGGTATGATCTTCGCAGAAGAGGCGTCCACATTTCCTACAGTTCACGTTCCCGTTGACCGACCCCAATCTCTTTCCACATGATGGCTCCGTACACACATCGCTGTACCCCGTCCTCTGCCAATGTGTCTTGCTCACAACCTCATCGGGGTCTGGTCTGTACATATCTGAACTGACTGGTCGGTTGCCTGGGAGACCGCTCGGATTCGCTCTGGGCGCAGGGGATGGTTCGTTCGACTCAAATACGTCTAATCCCTTCAACTTTTGGTTGATGACTGCCAATGGCTGGAACTTTTTGGCTTTTACAACCTGCTTGTCGAACCAATTCTTCACTTCGTCTTGTTCCACTTCGGGTAGTTCTTGGTGATTATCATCGAGATGCCTGTATGATTAGCGCGAACGTAGAAAGTCGAGTGAATTTCAGTACCTATTCAATTGTAATAAAGTCAACTAAATCCCGTCAGTACACGTCTGCAATGCTGCCCAGATACACCAACCATTTCCTCACTACATATTGGGCAGGTGAGTCGATTACTCGTTGCTGCTACTCTTGATGGCCCGCCATTCTCCAAAGAAGACCGTTTTATCAAATCCTGGCTATGTTCGGGAAGAGGTGATGTGGCCAACGGGGATGCTGTAGAGTCCCTCGAACTCAAGGACACTGTACTTGCAGAGGGGGAGAGGATGTCGGACTCCTGTCGTCGTTGCGCCGGAGGGGCGGGGGGTGCCAGTGACTTTGCACTTCCTAATATCCTCCCGCCTCCCAGCTTTCTACCAGACATAGCGGGAGGTTATGAGGGGGGTTTTGCGACTTTGGCTTTGGAGCCTCGCCTGCTCAGGGTGGTTGGAGGAAGGTTTCTGTTTCAAGGACCAGCCAGCTGAGGACGATCTTGATGACTAAGACCCGCAACTTTCGGCAGGCCGATAAGAAAGCTTATCGGATGGTCTACAGGGATGGCTTCCTCGGAAAAAGATGCGTGGATTTGCTGAGTACGACTATTTCATTCACAGCTCTAACTTTGCGCCATTCTCTCTCACGACAGTCACGCTACGGAGAATGAGTGAAGAGCAATTCCCCGAGGTTCAAGGAGGCGGATCGCTGATTCTGGCCTGGCAGATTAAGAACAAGAGGGTGCTGGTTGTGGGAGGCGGCGAGGTATGTCGTGCTATTCTGCGGAGGGGCGCCACTAACGGATGGCCGTCCAAGGTTGCAGCAGGTCGAATACTCAATGTTCTCAACGCCGATGCGAAAGTCACGGTAGTTTCACCTCGAGATGGACTCAATCCAGAAGTGGCATATCGAATAGAAAAGGGACAGGTTGATTATGTTGATCGTAAATTCGAACCTTCGGATCTAGACAATGTGGATATGGTATTGACGGCGGTCGACGACCCGGAAGCGTCTTCGCAGATTTGGAAACTATGCAAAGAGAGAAGGATAGCGGCCAATATTGCGGATGTTCCACCAGAATGCGACTTTTACTTTGGCAGTGTACATCGAGATGGGCCATTGCAGGTTATGGTTAGCACCAACGGAAAAGGACCACGACTAGCGAATATTGTGAGAAGGTCGATTGCTACCAACCTCCCAGACAATGTGGGAGAGGCAATTGAGAAGGTTGGGAAGTTACGGCAGATGCTGAGAAAAATCGCCCCTAAACCAGAGGAAGGACCCAAAAGAATGGCATGGTAAGGAGAGATGTAGGGCCTTTTGAGGCCTCTCGCTGACCAGATATCCAGGATGATTAAAGTCAGCGACGCATACAGCCTGGAGGATTTATGTGAAATGAACGAGGAAGATATGGAGGCATTGCTCCAATTCTATGCGCCTGACAAAGTTCCGCGGTTCGGCTGTTTGAAGGCCATGAAGAATGAAGCTTTTGATGGCTCTTTCGATGGGTCGTTCGGGTTCTTCGTTGGGTGGGGATAGAGGATACGAGCGTTGCATTCCATGATTAAGCGCCGCTTCTTCAGTAATGACTCCTTAAGCGCATGCGCTGTCAGGTGGGTATTGTACGAGGTTACGAAAAGCCGAAACTGTATGAATTGTATCACTATTTCTCACCGATTTTTTGACCGCACAATGGTTGGCTACTGTTGCGGTCTATTTTCTGGGGTTCTAGGGTATTGGAATACGATGCATATAGGGCTGTACACCTATTATAGGGTTGGGATAAAAGCCGTCGAACCTTGAAATATACTCCGTATCATTGGCTTGGGATCGCGGGGGCCCCTGAATAACAGGTTTATCTCCTCCACCCGCGCGCTGCAAGAAACGTCGCTTCCAAGTTCTTGTTTTGACGCAAATCGCTCTCGACCAACCATTTCCCCTGTTCTCAAAGAGATCCGAGATGACGTAGAACCGGGCAGGGGCATGATTAAACAACCTACGGCTTCCATTCTCAGACTGGATGAGATGATTCATCGCTCGGCCAGTCACACTTGAACTTTGGTGAACTTTGCGAGCGTGTGTTGGCCTTGCCTCGCTTGCCTACCCCATTGGGCCAGATTGGGCCAAAGCTTGGGGAAAACAAGACAATGGAGGCTGATCAATGCCCCTGTTCGGCAAACAACCGAGCTGCGGTATGGATGGCTGGCTATCAGTCTGGCTTTCTTTGTCTGTTCTGAGTTCAATCTATTTCTATTGTGTGTGGATCAATGTAACATGATGTCGTTGGTCCGAGGTAGGTTGAGTGATGTTGGGGTGCGTTTTCTTTGACTGGTGTTTGACTATATGAACATTCACTTATCACCTCCTTCTGTGAATCAAGTTTTCACCCAAGTCACACACTATCTATAAAGTTCTACACCCTTCATTCTGTAGTATCACGTCCTTTCCAAAACTAAATACAACGGAAATCATAATATCAGCCAAGTTGCTGTACAGTACACACTTTCAAAATGCGTCCTATAGCTCTTGTACCGCTGGTACTAGCCATCGTTGGCTTCACACTATCATTACTCACCCTTATGGCTGGTACCAAACCAGGCTATCTCGAAGAATACCACATTATCACGGTCAACACCACCGGCCTGGGTAAAAATCTGATCAGCAACAACAAAAAGGCAACTACTACAAGTACTGCCCCGGCCAGCAAACCGAATTCAGGAGGACTCTCTGGATTCATCTCAGGCATCGGAGATGATATCACCACCGCTATTGGCGGAGCCGTTGACGACATCCAAGATGAAGCAAACAAGCTTCTCAACGAAGCCGCCGAAGAAGTCGCCAAGAAGTTGGGAATCAAGGAGTTTTATAGTCTCCATTTGATGGATATGTGTGAAGGGGACTACAAGCCCAAGTCCCCCAACTCAACGATCGTCAAGGGAGCCAGCAAAAACGTAACGAAATGTTCTAACCAAACAGCTATGTGTACGTTCCCCACTCCTTAAAATAAGAAAATTGAAATAGAGCAAGGACTAATAAAAAGCAGACCACTTCGACCTCGTCGGCCCCATCGACCAAAAACTCATGGCCTCCCCTCTCAAAACCAACCTCAGCAGACTCAACTTCCCAGACGACATCCAAGAAGGCCTCGACGCCCTCTCCACCGCCCTAAACGTGACCTTCGTCCTCTACTGCATCGGCATCGCCGCCGCGGGCCTCGTCATTCTCCTCTCCCTCGCCTCATTCTTCTCGGGCAATCGTCTGCTAACCACCATCAACATCTCCCTCGCCTCCATCTCGTTCCTGGCCCTGCTCATCGCCTCGATTGCCGTGACGGTCGTGCAGAAGAAGGCTACCAAGACTATCAATAAATTTTCAGAGAAAGTGGGGATTGAGGCGTATAGGGGCGGCAAGTACCTCGCTCTTACCTGGACCAGTGTTGCGGTTATGGGGGTTGCGGCGGCTGTATGTGTCCTGGGGTGTTGTACCGAGAGGAGACGGAGGAGTAGGGAGTTTAGTGAGAAGAGGACGCAGAGGGGGGGTTGGTGGAAGAGCGGGAGGAGGAGTGATGAGGCGCAGTTGAGGAGGAGTGGGGTTTGAGGAGTTTTTATGATTTGGATGATGGGGATTTGTAGGACTGGGTAATGAGTGGTAATGTTTGTGCTGTGCTTTGGAGGGTGTTTGATGTCGTTTTTGTGGTACAGTATGGTTGGGTAGAGTGGGCTTTTTCTTACTGGTATGCTGGCATGCTTTACTGTGTTTGTATTGCGTCGATACCCCTTTATTGATCTGAATCTTTTTATTATAGACTTATTTACATCATCTTAACTCACATTGTAACTATTATTGTTAGCCTCTCAGTTGAGTATGTGAATGTTATTCGCTGGTTTTAGTTAAGCCTTTTGTCACGCTATCTAGTCGAATTTCGCATCAACTACCGCAATTATTCGGAAACCTTCGCTTAACTGCATCCCATTACTTCCCATCATTGATTCATCGAGGCACGATAGACAAATCCTCCACAAATCCGGGATCAAAAAAAGTTAGTCTAATCGCTGATTCCTTCCCGCATCATGTGTCAAGGTAATTGTAGTACACTTGCCACAAACTGGATCATAGGCGGATGTCTAGTCACGTTTTACATAGCTTTGTAATATCGTGAGCTTCTGCTTAGTTTCAAAAGACGGGGAGAGGCTAGGAGAATCGAATCAGATGTAGTAACCATAGAATAGTAACTACCATAATGCCAAGCTTCTCTGATTCAAGGGGAATACGCTGCGACATAACTCCTTGTCAGACAGGAAGTATAACCAAGTCACAGATAGTCATTGCTATATAGGAATAATTGTATATGAAACTCGGAACTTGGGATACAAGCAATGTTCCGAGTTCCGTAGTCGGGTTGATATAAGAATGGTTCTCTTCTTCTTTGTCAAATTGTGTTTTCTCATCTCAAAGGAAGAATATGTATAGAAGCTTTGGTTGTGAAGAACACCCGTAATGAAGATGGTCGAAATTCTGAATGTTGAAGAAGTCTCGACGGTGAATTCATTTGAAAGGAAACGAAGTTTCGATAATAAACACACCCGCGAATAATTCTTCCCTTCACTTGCCAAATGCATCTTTTGCGCGCTAATTTTAGAAGGTGTAAAGCATGTGTGTAGAACACTGAAATATACTACCAATAGGACTTGATGAATGCCTTTTTCCTGCGCTACGCAAAAATTCCACGGAAGAACTCATGGAATACGACTTAGGACTTGTGTCTCACAACCTCGTAATATTAATAACGAAAGCGCAGCAACTTCCTCCAGGCCGTTCTGGAGCACAATCCGACAAGAGTATAATACGCGAAGAAAACGTACCACCCCTAAATTCCTTACCGTTAGAAACAGACGGCGAACTCAACTTTGTGTTAACACGCTATAAACTTCTTTTGCGGAAAGTTCAAAGTTGGTATGAGAGTTTCTAGGAAAAAGGGATGGGAAAGGGATCCATCCAACCTGTCAAATTCATCACTCCAAGTCTCCAATAATCTCAAACTCATTAACAGCAACATAGGTTTCGACAGGAAGAACATCTCTAAACGACAGAAGTTCAGGTGAATTAGATATGATTTTCCATAAGTCTAATTTGTTAAAACTTTGTCAATTTTCACACCAAGCAGATGGCGTCTATGATAACCCTGCGTACTATATATATAATTACACACAATTATCCTCTTCCTACATGTGCCATTCTACGATCCAAGATACCAAGACTGGATCCACCATGATCCACTCTGGCTCGCTTAATAGCAAGCCCTATCCCACAACTCAAATACGTTTTGATATTTAAATAGGAAAAATTCAAATTAAGCAAAAAGAGATAAAAACGGTCGGGTGGTGTAGTTGGTTATCACATCTCGTTAACATTGGTTAACAATATTCCGAGAAGGTCCTGGGATCGAGCCCCAGCCTGATCATGATCTCTTTTTAGTTTTCTTTTTTGGAAAGCCTTTTCTTTTGGGTCGCTGTTAATTTCATTTTAAGGCCCTGATATTTTTATTTTTTATATAGGGAAGGTATTAGCCTCGGAAGGCTAAAGTATATAAACAGCCAACCGTGTCTCTCTATAATATACTTCTCCACCAACATACTGCTTCATCTTTACTATTCGCCTAGGTCTCTTCTTGGTGTAATATAATCTCGAGGCGTTTTGCGAGTATATTAGTAGTGAACAGGTTCAGGAGCCATGTAAGCATTGCCGCGAGGGTGATAGGCCATTTATTTGTTGCGTTACGGCTACGGACGAACGGGAGGACAAGAGTTTGTTTTTTAAGGCCTTTATATAAATTGTCACTACAATAGTAAAGGTACTCGTGATCCTGAAGGGGCTCCCTAATAATATTTCTCATGGAGGTTTTAGTATCTTCTGACTGTTGTGATTTAATCGATAGCAACTTTAGTCATCGGCAGTAGATTAATTTTCGCTTACTCTTAGTTCACATTTCTTTTTTTCGTTTTTGTAGAATTTTGATGATCCGCCTAACAAAACCTCGGCCAGAAACATAATAGCTCCACAGGGGAAGTTTAGAACTCCTGGTATTGATCCCCTATATGTGGTAATTCTTCTAGTGCGCCAAACTTCTCTCTTTCGGTTCTCATCAGAGTATACCCATGAAAACGGGCAAGGATTTTTACAGAGATGGAGTAAGGAAACATTCGACAGTAATTACTACTATAGTCAGCAAACCCCTTTCGCCTACTCCAAACCTGGACCAATCTTAGCAATGAAACTGGGATGTTTGTATTAATGGCTTGTGGTGTGATTGTCAGAAAATGGGATTACGGTTCGGATGAAGAGCACTCGTGGTTTGTAGAATTCATGGTGTACTTTGTGTGAGTGCGTGTGGGATCGACGGGAAAGTTGTTGTTGTTGAGAAGAGACCCCTTGAAGAAAGAAGATCAACCCAGAATATATACCACATCCTTGTAGCTGGGAAATACGGGCATAACGGTGTAGGTAAGCGCGCGATTGCATGTCACACACACAGAGAGATAAAAGGAGACTGTAGTTATAGACTTCAGTCATGTTTGTGGAGCATGAAACTAAGAATTGAGATGCTGCTGCAATGCCGACTGATTGATAAAAGATCTCAAAAGGCCGACGATACAGTATGAGGCTAATTACATTGTAGACTGGAACGTCATCATTTTCGACTTCGTCAGCTAGACCCCCAGGCAGCAACACCCCACTCTGGCGTTCTGTCAGCCTCTTTCCCTGCGATCTCGCTTCCTCAACTTCCCCGTCACCAGGTGGCCAAAATAAGCGGGAGTGATTTTACAGTAGTACAGTAGTGGCCCGTGCACTCGTTTTGCCACTCCAATCAAAATCAAAGTCACCAATCGAAATCGCTCTCCGAAATCGAGATCGCGTCTAGATCAAGAACAAGATGGAAGTCAAAGTGCCGGTGTCTCTTTCGAAGTCTACCTTCAGCAAATTCACGAGTCTCCCAGCCGAGATACGATTCATGATCTGGTTGCTGGCGGTCCCAGGACAAAATCGTCTAGTTCACAGTCCAACATTTAGGACAATCAAGCATGCTCCTTGCCCAGTCCTATTTCTGGTGTGCAAAGAAGCCAAGGCGTGCGCCGAGACTCAATATCAGCGACTCCAACAGGATAACAAAGGCTATAACCTTATGATGGGAACTTTGACCCCGAGTAATATTACAGAGGGTGGCGGTCTTCCGATCTCGTTGGGCCATGACATCTTTGTAATACAGTCTAGAAAGTGGAATAGCTGGCATACGGGCAAATCCAACCTGAGGAAAGGATGGACAGCAAGCCGCAGGCACGGAAAGAAGCCAACCAACCAAGGCTTGTGAGAGGATCGGGAGATTTAACCCAAGAAGGGTTCGACGAGTATGTGTGACGTGTTTATACTGCATAGCGGATCGTGGCTATCACGAAGCAATGCAAGGTGATTCGCTTTAGGAATTGTGCTCTGGCTGCTCCGACCTCTGCGAGAATATTTTCTATCCAGGAACCAGGGCTATACCATGTCACAATAATAACAAAGAGGAACTAGACTGGTCTTGGAAATGGACGTATCGAGTAGAGGAGGTCTTCCATCTACATCAGGTTTGGGACTTAGTAGAGCGAGTGTTCCCACCTTTGGAGACGTGCAGGTGTACGTTGTATCAACCATAGAGCCGTACGTATCGAGATTATCTTCGGCTTCTCAAGGATCGTCTCAACAATGATATACCGAAAGATTCAGCTTACGACACACATTACACACTCTTTCAGCGTAGGCGAGAGCTGTGGAAATATGAACACGACCTGCGCAACAGGATTCGTGCTCGAAATCTTGTTATGAGGCGGTTCAGGATCTATATGTCAAGCAGATGAAGAAAGATCTGCGGCCAAAGTCCCATTCCCACGCCGGATGGCTCCATCGAACGGGACAGCCTCCTTTCCCGCACCATCAGCGCCTTCTACAACACTCACCTATGAAGTCTATCCCATACAATTTCCAAATCATCACATCGCTCCTAACGATCGTCACAAACAGAACAACCATTCGAGGCATTCGAAATAGGTTCTGAGAATCTATCCTTGACACTCTTTCCCAATATGATCCTAGTAGACTCTTACACATGGATGAATCATGCTGGACTTAAACAACAAATCTCAGTATTTCTAGGAGTCCCCGAGTGCGAGTTTTCGTTATTCAGGTCGCAGGCGCCTTGTTTTTGTGGTCTCTGGCTTTTCTACGCTTTTAACTTTTGGTATGATATGGATGGATTAATATTGGGAATATAGATAGATATATTACTACTGGGCCGTTTACAGAATGAATACAGTGAGCGTTTTCAAAAGACATTGAATGATTTGAAGTGGCTCTACACGTAAGATCTTACGTTCGTTGTTACTTGTAAAAATGTCGCACGACTACTAGGGCCTCCCCTTAAATATAGAAACCTCGGGTCGGAGTTTACGTGCATATAATGTGCTTACGTGGAAGGTCTGGACCCGAAAGACTTCTTTACGGTGTTTTGCATCGTTATCGCCAGGAAATGCTGTTCTCATCCGCTTGCACTTGATTCAGGAATATATTTTCTGGTTGCTTCCGATGGCAGACTCCGACGCTCAAGTAAGGCTGAACGATCAGCTGTCGAGATATTACAAGAAACGAATCGAGTACGACCATGTTACTGTGTTGGCAATATACTGGCAAGAGTGTTCCAGTGCCGGTTATAAGGACGAAGCTGCCAAATTAGGGACATTGATGAAGACGTTCAATTTCCACTTCGAACACTTCGAGATTCCAAGTTATGACAGCCAGTTTGCACTATATAAGAGGCTTGTGGAGTTGCTGGCGGCCAATCGGCAAGATAATACTTTACTTATCATACATTATGGAGGCCATGGATGGGTTGATGACAACCACGATAATCAATCAGTATGGGCAGCGTAAATACACTTTTCTCAGATTCAGAATAACAAGCTGACAGAGATGCCGTAAAGAAAGCCATCATACCGATGCGAACTTGCGATGGTCCGACCTCCAGATAGAACTCAAACAGCATAAATCTGAGGTCCTCTTGGATTTTTGCTTTGCTTCCCAAGCAGCTCGAGGTTCAAAAGGCCCGATTCCAAATAACGTGGAGCTTTTCGCCGCCTGTGGAATGAGTGCAAAAACTCTGGCTCCCGGTCCATATTCTTTCACTTCCCTACTCATCCAGGAAATCTCCGAGAGTATCGGCTCTGATGGATCGATAAAAATTTCGGAATTACATAAAAGTATGGCGTCAAAACATTCCCAATTGAAGCAGTCAGCAGTGTACTATCCTCTTAGCGGGCCAAAGGCGAGCATCACCCTCCAACCTCGGGCAGGCTTCTCTGATAGAACACCTCCTACACCCCCAGAAGCAGGGTCCGTCACGATCCGGATATCACTTTCAAAGCTGGAACAGCTGAATGAAGTCGTGGATTTATTGAAGCTTAACCCTCCATCTACCATATCAAATGTCAGAATCGAACAATTGAGACAATCGGCGACTGCAGTGAACAATTTTGTAAGCGGTAACAACACCAGGGGTAACACTGCAGTTAAATTTAGCAAGCACCCTCCGTCGGCTCAGGATGATATATCCTCATCATGGACTATTTTCAATCAAGGCGTTTCGCGAATGACTTCTTGCGCATGTTGTCCAGTAGTCATAAGGATTTCGACGAGCAAGAAATGGAGGAAGGTTTAGCTGCAATATATGCAGAACAACTTGAGAGAAGCTTTCAACCGGTATAGAGTTCCGTTGAGCGTAGTATCATGGCAGCTCCGGAATTATCAGAGAAAGGAGCCTTGCTCGAGGCTGCTGTCGATCCGAAACTGACAGCTCTTGGTCTTGGAGAGATGCTAAAGCTGAGGGTGTTAGCACATTTCGCACCCGACGGAATTACAATGGAAGTCAACTTGAATTCTTTAGAGTCTCAGATTTCTGGCCCATTTCCCTACAGGACAGTTGAAGAAAGCATGCCGCAAATCGGGAATGTGCTCATTGAAGCCAAGAGATTTGGCGAATATGTTGACACAAGAATCTTGCAGGCACGACTACAGAACTTAGCAGTGCTGCTGCAATCATCCAAGTCTGTGGAATTTCACACGTTGTCTTGTGCTGGATTTTTCTTCGAACGGTCCAAAGCATATGGTCTCATTTTTCGCGTTCCACCAGCGGCTCCTGGGCTTCCAATCTCCCTTCATGATATCATTTCGAAGAAAGTGGAAGTATCAACGAAGCCAACTCTCGGCCAACGATTTCAAATTGCTCTCAAGATTTGAACAGCACTTATGAAGTGGCATTTGGTGGACTGGGTTCACCAAGAGATTGCAAGCTACAGCATCGTTTTCTTCTACGATCCGGCCCTTGGTGTTGATTATGGCCAACCGTACTTGTGCGGATTTGAATATGCTCGTAAACATTAAACTCCGTCTACGTCGCGAATTGTAGAAGATTTCGAGCTGAACGTTTATCGTCATCCGGACCGCCAGGGTGTTCCCAACGCTTCTCATCAGAAAGAGCACGATATTTACTCGTTCGGAGTACTACTGCTAGAATTGGGACTGTGGGATATCGCTGGCAAATTGTTCAGTCCAAAAAAGAGGAAAAAATATCGCCATCTGAGATGGGACAACGTCTTGCGGAAGTGGCGAACAAGAAACTGGGACACTACACTGGAACAGCTTTTCAGAAAGCTACGAGCATCTGTCTCAATGGCGACTTTGGGGTGGAACAAGATGACATTATCAATTCTCAATTGGGCAAGAATTTCAAGGTAAAAGTTCTCGCAGAGATCGAGAAAGCTACCATGGTAGATTGATGTGACGGGCTCTACCACAGTTTTCCCCCTACATGAATATTTCCAAAGCACTATTTCTTTGCTCCTTGGTGCGCCTTACTTTGTCAAGAAACGTTCATCCTTTCACGAACTTTGATTCTCGGATCACCTCGCTATTTTTTATCACGGAGTAGTCTGTAGGATTGCAGAGGACGTAGTTCTTCGCCGACGGTACGGTAGAGATCAAATATGGGCATTCTAGAGCGGAATTCCCACCTGGGTCGAAATAAACCGTGGCTCCTGGTTTGAATCTGCTGGCCTTTTCCGAGATCAGCATCAGGAGTTTGTGCAGGTTACCTTATGGGGATTGACTTACCTCTCCCTTTCTCACCGTGCCACCGCGCTCTTCATCGTATTCTTCGACCTTTCGCTGGTGCCTGTTGTCTCGTTAGCCCTTCGAACATGCCAGAAAATGGTAGAAGCCATAATTTACGTACTCATCTTTTGTCATTATATGGGGCGTTTGTGAGCAGGAAATGGCTAGGAGCTGCCTATCGATTTGTTATCTGAGTACGCCCGATAGAAATCGGCATCGCTGCCCAATGCTACCTATACCTGCCTGATTAAGGTGCTACCACGCCCAAGGTGCGAGCCAATCGGTTATATTGAGGAACGCCTTCTTTTGAATTTGTACTCTTGCTCGACGCTTACCCAGCCTTGCAATATGGTGGACTCGAGAAGAACAATATGGTGGAATCGAGAAGAATAAAAGGTCCCCAGAATATCAGGTGAGTTTTTTGAAGACCTGGAAAGAAAAATCAGAAATGGCAAGTCAAATGTCTCAAACAGCGGGTGATATTGTGGCCGTTGAAATTGCCATACGTGACGACAATCCGTTCTTCGACTTCATAAAGTCCAAGCTTACATTTCGAAGTATGAAAGCCTCAAGTATTCCACGGATGCTGCGGAAAACTAAAGAGACAATATCGAACGTCCTTTTACTCAAAAAGGCCAGCACGGACGGTCAGGACGAAGAAGAGATTGTGGGGAAACAGCAAAGTATAACAACTCAATCTACTCAAGAGTTCAAAATAACCCCGCTGATCATTTACTTAGTCGGAGATTACAAACCAGGCTACCCTCAATACTGCTCTCTTATTTCGGCTCACATTCCTTACCATATTTGCCGACGGTTCACTCAGATGCGAGCCCGACTTTTACTTCTTAAGCAAGATCAGTTGTCGCTTCTTGAAGATCAGCTAGAACAAATTGAGAATGCTGAGCGATGTCCCATTTTCCTTGGTAATTCTCGCATAGATATAAATCCTGCGAGAAAAGAAATTCTCTCTCTGAGATTCAAATAGGATTGAGGGAATACGGTATTTGCGGTACGGTATCATTCTTGCTGAACACAGCTGATAGATGAGCAGACGAAATTATTGAGAAAAATCGAAAGATTCTCAGCTACCATACTCCAAAACCCAGAGATCTAACAAACTTGACCAACTGGATTGAGAACAGTGCCAGTCTTGCAGCAGAAGAAACTGCATATCTCTCGAAGCCAGATCTCCTTACCATAGGAATGCCAACTGATGAACCTTTACTACAAGTTGAATTGCTTCTGGGACATGTAATCATGTTCTGCTACGAAATATTTAATAAGGTAACTGCACAACTATCTGATCGTTGACTGCAACTCAGTGAGATAATAAGTTAAATCTGCAATCTAGCGCCCGAAAATAGACCTGTCCCGCGATCCGAACGTCTTCATATTCTCAAACCCGCGCTGGAAACGTATCACTCGTGGCCTTATCGCCTGGATTGTGGTTTTGATACTTTTTGTTCCAGTCATAGTTATTAATTCTGTTTCTGGGGTTGCGGTACGAATGGGGGTAATAGTGGTAGCTTCTGCAGTTGTTATCATGACACTGGCTTTGATGACAAAAGTAAAGACCTGGGAAATGTTTCTGGCTTGCGCGACGTGAGCTTCATATTCTTTATTTGTTCAATTTTAAAACTCCCAGAAGCTGACGTTTGGACTTTTCTATCTAGTTATGCAACAGTTCTAGTTGTTTTTTTGCCCAGTAGTACAGCGGTCAACTCGACCGGCCTTCATTAGCGAACACCGATTTTAGACGGCGCGATTAACGCAGAAAGAATCTTAATCATAGCCATTGGTAGCAACTGAACTTTCAAACAATCATGGTGAATAATGAGATAAGATCAAAACAAAAGTACCTCCGTAAAGCTATCACGACTCTTTTAAATTACCTGTTCTCCACAATCTTTCCATCCTCCACTCTTACTTTCACTATTCGTTGCTCCCTTGATACAGCTTTGATATAGCCATCCTTGGAGATCTTCTGAAGCTCGTCAACAAGCTCAGGTCGATTTTCCAACGCAGTAATACTCGGTAGGAATGTTCCATTCTGATACCATGGAATTAAAGCACAAATTTGCTCTTTCACCCAAGTATCTTTATACTTTGCAAGCTCATAAAGTACTGACTAATGCTCACGGTTTGGTTGCATACTAGGTGAGAGCCCCGCCACATAGATATTGACAAAGTCGTAATCTCGCGGTTGCCAAATATTCTCGCAGCTATACTCTGTTCCTAATTGCCAACCACGCTTCGCACCATGCTTCATCAAAATTTGGATCGTGGTAGGGAACGCCCAATAGGCCTCATCTAGTATACGAGTTAGTATTTTTATCATGTTTGTGGACTTCTGAGCAGACATACAAGCTCGCTTCTGACCCCCTTGAAAGGCAGAATATGCTTGACAGGATGAGTCCTCCATCAGCTTGGAACCAGGCGTTTCTAGATATGCGGAAAGATGGCCAATATGCTGATGGCGAGAATTCTCTCTGTTGTCCAGAGCAATATCAAGCGCTGTCTTTGCTGATTCGTTCAGTTCGAGCTTAACCTCATTGATGTATTTATTCAGACCAAGGTCCAGAAGGAATTGTAAAGTCTTCGGCCGAGCGAACATGGAGCAGTTCCACAGAGCAGCCTTGCTAGATTCGTTGAATTCTCGATACGCAGATTCGAAATTTGCGTTAACTCGAAGGAGAAGTGTTTTAATGAGAACGAGAGAATCGCCGTCCATTAAGTTTTTGTTCTCTGTGATGGCGCCAATAACGTTTTCGCCACGTGAATTTACAAAGTGAATATCAGCTCCATGTTCTAGAAGAATCTTGGCTCGAAATTGTGCATCGGACGTCTCGCTTAAAGACCACAATAAGGGGGTGTTTCCATATTCGTTCACCGCTTCGATGTTGGGCGGTGATGGTTCGGAAAAAAGAGCAGAGATATTTGATTCGAATTGATCCCGACTACTCTTAAGCCCCGAAACAACGTGAAGTGCTGTCTGCTTGTTAAATTGATTTGCGTGACTCAAATCCTTCGCACCACCAATAATTGCTTTCATTATTTGTGGATAGCCGGTCGGGTATGCGACGTTTTCCGACGCAACACTGCTACACAGTATCAGAGCAGAGTCGTTACAGCTAGCTTTTGGGTTGCTTGCATCAGCTCCTGCGTTTATCAAGGCAAGCATCGCCCCTTCATCACAACGAATATTCTCAGAAGCAGCAGTGAGAAGCGGAGTAAGAGGAGTATAACCGGTTGAAAGAGACTCAAGCTCAGAACCAGCACAAAGCAAAAGATCGACCATTTTAGACATCGCTGAAAGATGCTTTTTCCAATTGCCATGTCGAATCCAAGAATGCCATTGGGATGGAAGCCACCCATATAGTGCGGGGGTATTGATTAACAATTGGTGAAGCAGACTTCTGTTCTTTTCATCCCTGACTTCAAAGTTTGCCCCCCGTTGAAGCAAAAAGGAGGCAACCTCTACATCTCCACAATGAATAGCCAACGCTAGAGGGGTTGTGTGAGCGTGGTTGTTAAAGCACTTGGCATCAACATCAGCCCCATGACGAAGTAAAACTTCCATTGCCACAAAGTTTCTACTTGCGCACGCCCAATGAAGAGGAGTGCCGTATGGCAGTTCAAAGGCGCTCGTTTAAATTAGCCAGAGTAATACATTATTGACAAAAGGAAACTCACTAATGGGATATCATAAAATGTGTCTTATGTAAGGTTCTAGAGTTGCTTGCGATATCTATTGGTATCATTTGGCAATTAACAAGTTGTTGGCCCCTGCCGACGAGGTATCCACACGCTGTGGCAATATCACTGTCCTTGAACATGAATAGCCAACGAAGAGGGGTCAAGTTCTCCTTGAGCGTTCCAATTATCGACAACTTCTCACCAAATCCTCGCAGAACTTGAAGAATGCCAATGTGGCCAGCCTGACAAGCTTTGTAGAGCAACGTTTCCCCGTTATCATTTGTAGCTTTTAACTCCTGTGGATACTTGTTGAGAAGGGATGTTAGTGGTTTGCAAAGACCTAAGGCTGCCATGACATGGCCTATTGAATTTCCATCAAGATCGACTGGGTGGAAAGATCCCTCTCTCAGGATCAATTCCTCGACTCGCAATATGTCGGAGACCATCTCTAGTATGTGTGGAATCGAGGTAAAACCACTATTGCCGAATCCTCCAGCATTTCGAAAGACATCCTTTGCTGTGTTGGTCTCCTCCAAAGTTAATACGCTGGTCCCTGGTGTAAACATGATTCCAGACTCGAGAGAGTTCTTTTCCCATTCCGCAAGGGTTTCTCTTGAAGGGACTGGCTTATTTTGAGCCAGACATATCTGTTGACAGATGGCTTGAGCTGGCTTGTAACCTAGAACAGATGCTCTCCGGATAAGGTCAACTACCACGTCGATATATTCAGACACGGGATTGCTACTCATTCCCATAGCGAGCCCGAAAAGAGTCTCGGCATGAACTGGTGATTTGGACCCCACCTTTTGCGCACTAATTACCATATCATGAATGAGTGTCCTGTCAGTTCTTGCCCAGAATCGCGGACCCTAGCTGAGCTCTCTCCCCCTTAATCTCTCTACTGATTGACTGAATAGCGTATGAAATAAACCTACGTTGGTTAGCAGAGAAAACCATCCTACTTTGAATACCTTAAACAAATCATTCTCGATAAGATGGAAGGTCGTCTGTTTTTAGAGTTTCCGCTGTAGGGGGGAGTCTTTTTGAGGGGGTTTTCGTCCAAGAAGCTTTCAACGGCGGAACACAATTTCGATTTCAGACTTGATGGCAACTGGGCTCCGCTTCCAATCCGCTTACAGCGTTTGTTGATATTTATTGTTTCGGGGTCTCTTGGGCCGTGAATGCCTGACTTGGCCAAAACAAGCAAGAGGTCTGACATAGAACTCAAGACTCGACGGCCTGATTTCGCACGTACTCGTTGTTCATCGAGGTCACTTCTTGAAGGGGTTGCGGACGGGTCATCTTTATCATCACTGGTCCGCTCAGATTTGCTAGTATTTCGATAGCTTCGAGATTGGGATTAGCTGAATGCCGACGTTTCTGAAGAGTTTTGGTTTTGGTCGGATTTAGCTAGTGTTCCAAATGGTTGCGACTGACACCAATTATTTTAGAATGTCTTTACGTTGGGCATAAGCTCCGAGCCTCGGCATAAGATGTGATCCTGCAGCGTAACAGGCCTACTCAAGTACATTGGAATAGAGAATTATATTATATATATTGTAGAGTAGAATCTAAGCTTATTAATTCTTCAACTATCCCCCATATAAAATATTAAGTAGAAGCAATACGAATTAAACCTCATGCGCAACATCATGACCTCCATAGACTCAGGTCTATCTTGTGTCGATTGAGGCCCAATATTCGGGGCGTAGAGCCTGGCAAACTTCTTCCATGGGTACCCATCAACTGTGTAGATGCCTCAAGTCCATCCCTAGAAGAACTCAAACAAATGACGACTCCATCAAGAACCATGCTATGGCTACCACTGCTTCGTCAAAGAATACCCATTCTGTTCTATCCACAAATCGTTAGCCACATACAAGCTCAAAAATACTAGCGGAACATTCCAGAGCACCTTATATATGAACTGGAATATTCCATTAAACATACTCTGGAATTCCATGGAACTATAGAATTCCAGTGTCTTTGAGTAATGAGAAGGCAGGGTCTAGGGGTAGGGTTAATTACTCGATTTCATACTATACCTGTAATATTTATTTATTTATTTATTACCGGCGGAAACTAACACCTAAATGCTAGCTCCAAGTAGGATTCCCTTATAGAACATAGGACGCTAGGGAAGCACCCTAGGCTTTATAGGGATATAACTAGGGAGCTAATTATAGGATAAAGTTAAAGGGAAACTCTACTTCTAGAGAGGCCCTTATATATAGATAAAAGAACTCTAGGATAGAATAAAGAAAAAGCGAGAAACAGAAGAAAAAAAGAAATAGTTGTTAGTAAAGCTATAGTTTTATTAGAAAAGTTTAATAAGAAGTAGATAGATTTTAAAGTAAAAGTTTATTTTAGTAGTAGTTCTTAAAAGAGCTTTCTAAATTAAGAACTAAAGAGAAGAGTAAGGTTTCGCTTAGCCTTTGTAACTAGGGCTAGGGCTCTCTGTTTTATTTATTAGTAGTAAAGGAGGTAAAGGAGGTAGAAGAGCGTTTTCTCTTTCTTGTAGGAATAGTTTCCAAAGAAGAAAAGGGTATTATAGTATTTAAATTAAACGTAGTAGGCTATAAAGTTACTATAGCCGGTTCTAGTAGTAATAAGTCTACTAAGTACGTCTCTCGGGAGCTTTAGTAAGCTAGGTTTCTAGTACTAGGTTATAAAGCTAAGGTTCCTATATATCTCTAGAAGTATAGCTGTCACGAATCACGTGCTCGGCATGTAAATAAGTGAAGACCGGGCGGCGACCTAACAGGTTAAGCACTATCGAAAGCTCTTATAGCAAAATAGGGACGCTTAGGCTAGCTAAGCGATCCAGGGATTTCCTTTGGTTAGTATCACGTGACTCGCTTGGATCATATGGATCATGGTGATCCGTATGATCCATAGAGAACGAAGGTTCTATATAAGACTGGCACGTCTGCCATTAGATAGGAGCTTCGGGCTCAACTTAGTTATCAATCTTATCATATTAGTTTGACATCTTTGATACAAGTAACGAGTTCACTTCCAAGTGAACAACCCGATAATCTTCTTCTTATCAGAGCATACCAACCAGCGAACACCCAGCCAAGTTTAGTTAGCCAGTTTGAGTATTCGTTACAGTACTAACGGGAATATATCTTATTAGGGTTTTAAGGGTTATTTAGTATAGAATATACTTATATATATAAAACTCTACTTTCCCCTCTATTATCATTTCCATAACTTTATCACCATCCCACCATAAACACAATCTTAGTATAAGAGTCTCCAAGGAGACTCTTAAAGCCGTCGTGTGGGCAAGAACTCGTATCGCCTCGTATTATTACAAAGCCACACTTAGCCACACGGGGAGCCGGCACCGAGAGCCGCATGCGCACTTGAGCCTCACCTGCACACATGCGGCTCTTTGCGCCTACGTAGCCGCACTCTCACATATCGGAATAACATATAAATAAGACCGATTTGTACGCGTAATTAAGTAGTATCTTATCCTTGATTTATATGTCTCTCCGACCGGTGGAAGTGCCGCTACGTAGGCACAAAGAGCCGCACGCTGCGTACCGACGAGTTTCCAAGTTTTGGTGTTCCTTCGGCTGACTCATCGTACTCACATTGCCTTCCTAATATAGTTATATATCCCACGCCTTGCCTAATGTAGTTATATATCAAGGTTTGCGTTCCTGCCCACACGAAGCCTTCTAGAGTCTCTTTTGGGATCCGAGGGACGAGGAATAAATCACATCGAGACGAGAGGATATTAAACTAGATTGCCATAAACAGCAATACTACATCCTTCTTAGAGGATCCAACCATTCAGGTTCGCTACTACTGTAGGTTGTAACAGTACTCTGTAAAATTTCAACATCAGACGCGATATATAAATATAGCCGCTGCTAATTGATGAGCTATACTAGATAAGAGAGACCAAAAAAGATTGATGAAATACACCGGGGCGTGCTGCTACATGTGCGATGTGTGGTTTGACTTGAATATACGTATACCCTCCCTTTGTTCACAAGTACACCCTGTATTATCAAGTCATCTCCACCCCAACCATACCCCTATTTTATTCCATCCGAACATTCAAAATCCACTAACAACAAGCAAGCAAGCGGCAGCAAACCACATCCAACAATAAATCATCTCCTAAACCTTCACCTCCCAATATCTATCCACCCACCAACACAAACCCTCCACCCTCCACCCCCCCTACCCCCTCCCTTTTCCCCCCGAAAACTGCAAAGCTCATAATCACTTAAAATCCGGAAAACCCACCATACCACACCCAGCACAAACACCTCTGCTCAAGATACGAGTCCGCTTATTTCTAGTCTGTAGTACTTATATAAGACTCTTAAGAGTAGTATATTTATAAGATTTAGAGGACTTATTGCCGCAGGAAGTAGGTAAGGTAAAGGTGGTGAATTATACCATATTGGAGTTATTATACGGGCTGGTAGTGAAGGAATGGTAAAGGATGAGAGTGGGATAGTGAGATAGTGAATTGAATGATCCCCTATTCCTCGCTTGGCGATACGTACTATTTTTAGAGGGGAGGACATACTAGAAAATCTTAATCAAATAGAACAAGAAAGGATCTTGCTTTTTAAAGATCGTAGTTTCATTAGATGAGTTACAGTATACGAATGGTCATACGAAAGAACTCTGGGTGTCCTAAGTTTGGGGAAGCTTTTCGATTTTTCATGTCATGCGTTACATGCTCGCGCATGTCTCCAAGTACTTACTCACTAAGGTTCTAGGGTCATACCATCTACCTTGCACTCATCTTCTCATCTTCTCATCTTCTCATCTACTCATCTTTTCATTTTCTCATTTCCTCGTCCCTCATCCCTCATCCCCACAAATTCCACCACAATCTCACGCCCCCCCACCCCCCAAAACCAGCCCCGGATCCAATTCCGACACATCAGCACTCCTACACTCGCCCTCAAAAACAAACTCACTCATCACCTTCCCCGTCGCACAACTATTCTGAATCCCCCAACAGGTATGGCCCGCCGCCACAAAGAGGCCCCTCCAAGGGGTCTTCCCAATAATCGGCCCGCGATCACCGATACTGGATACGAGAGGGAGGTAACACGCTTGTTTCGCAACTACGGAGCCATTGCGGAAGGGCGAGGAGATGAGGCAGAGGTACGAGTACATGTCATCGCAGCGGGTGTCGTCGCATTGGACGTGTGCTGAGGAGGGGGGCAGGGGGATGAGATTGTCTCCTTCGCCTGAAGGTGTGTTAGTGATAATTGGAGGGAGGGGGAAAGGAGATGTACCACATGCGTAAACCGTTCCATCGGGTCTTGCATACATTTCTGGATTCACGAATTTTGCATGTCTTCTTTTCTTTGCCTCTCCGTCTCTTATTGCTGCGTAATTCCTGGGTAACTCGATCTCTGTAAACACGGCGTAAGGACTGACATCCGCCTTGATGACTATACTGTGTGCGCGCAGTGCTTCAATTGGTGCTTCGGGAAATATAGTGCTCGTCCAAGGTCCGGCCGCGACTACGATATCTGTCGCTGGGATGGTGTGGATTTCCTTCGTGATTTTGTCTTCGTATGTAACGCTCTGCGCGCCATTGACTCCTTTATAATCGAGAGCTGTGACGGAACCTAGTATGATTTCTGCGCCTTTCTCCACAGCTAGTTCCGCAACCGCGTTGGTGAAAAGATACGGATGAACCTGCGCTGTTGTTTCTGGAGTTCCCATTTCAGAGTATCCCCTCAATGTATCGTTGTCCAACCAATCCAGGTCCTTTGGTATCTCCGCGGGCACAACTTTCTTCCCATTACTCTTCGTCTTGCATAATTTCTTCCATTCCTCTGTTCCTTCTTTCGAAACGTCTCCCTCTATCTGTGAAGATTTATGTACCTTCCCCCTCGCCGTCACACTCCCACAATGCAACGCTCTATATCCCCATCGCTTCGCACCATCATGTTCTTTTGCCAATTCGGCGTGTAGTCGGTAGGAGAGTGGCACAATGCAGGACGGATATGCCCATAATCCCAAGAGTCCACCGGCTTTTCCTGAGGCGCCTGAAGCGATGGATTCCGCTTCTAGCAATGTGATTTTGTGGATGGCGGAGTTGAAGGAGGGGTGGCGTGTGAGGAAATAGGCGGTGGTACAACCGATTACGCCGCCCCCTGCAGAAAGATCAGTTTCTCGTACTTTTTGCGGTGGGAGTGAGGGGTTGTACCGACTATTACGATGTTTCGAGGGGTCTCTAGAGCTATCGAAGTCATGGTATGCGTTGGCATGGAGGTTGTTGGGTTGCTGTGTGTCGAGTACGAGGATACGAGGTATACGAAGCTCGGATGAGGGGTTCGCAGGAATCGGGTCGGGATAGAAAAGTATATTTGCCTCATCTGCGTCATCAAGCAGATACGAGTTGCGATAAGAGGCGACGGGAGGGCATCGCATAGAAAGGTGAAGAATCTCTGCCTTCTCAACAAGGCTGATGTGGCAGTGAATCCGATGCTTTGGGCAGAGTTCCTCGGCATACAACCTGCATCGAGCCGAGGTTGGTGCTGGCCAATGAAGCTCGATGAATCCTGGGATAAGATGGGCCAGAGCTGGCTGCTTCATCATCATTTGAGGAAGGAGAGGACGAGACTCTCGTGGAACTCCTTCTAAACCCCAGATTGAAACGTTTGACAAATCCTTTTGTGTATTACTTCAAACCCGCAACGAAACTATTCCCAGTAAACAACATCACCCCTTGAGCCGCCATCTCCACGAGTAGATATAAAACTCGATTGTACTGCCAATGCGACCTTCTCGATCCATCCTTCGACCTGCATACACATACATATTCACATTCACGTTCACCACAGCTCACCCTCACCCTCACCCCGCCCCAACGATCCGCCCCACCACTCGCATCTCGAACGCGAACGGTTCATCAAGCTCCCGAAGAAACCTTAATACCATCACCTCGCCACCACGAGCCGCCATCAAAACAGCTCCCTCTCTACACCACAATCAAAGAATCAAATTCACAACAACCACACGTAAATTACAAACAGCTCAATCATCCAACATGTCATCCGCAACCAGCTTCTACGATTTCAAGCCACTCGACAGTACGTACTCCACAAGCTTGCGCAGCTTCCCCGCCCCCACCAACCAACAATTAGAAACCCCCACTAACACCTTACCTCACCCACAGAACGAGGCCAACCAACACCGCTCTCGGAATACAAAGGCAAAGTCATCCTCATCGTCAACACAGCCTCCAAATGCGGTTTCACACCGCAATACGAAGGCCTCGAAAAGATCTACAAGAACCTCTCCGCTAAATACGGCAGCGACTTCGTCATCCTCGGCTTCCCCTGCAACCAATTCGGCGGACAGGAACCCGGCAGCGACGAGGAGGTTCAGTCGTTCTGCCAGCTCAACTATGGTGTTTCCTTCCCCATCATGGGGAAGACGGATGTCAATGGGGATGCGGCGAATCCGCTATTTGAGTGGTTGAAGCATGAGAAACCGGGCTTGATGGGTATGAAGCGTGTGAAGTGGAACTTTGAGAAGTTCCTTGTTGGACGGGATGGAAAGGTTAAGGGACGGTGGGCGAGTACTACGAAGCCGGACGCCCTTGTGGCGCCTATTACGGAGGAGCTGGAGAAGAAGGCTGAGCTTTAGGGAAGTGAGGACGTGTTTGAAGGAATGACAAATTATCGGAGGCAAATTTGGATTCTGGATTGCTGCATAGAGGATGGTAATAATTGGACGAGGATCTTCATTTCGATCTCTATAGAATTAGACCCCCTGGAGTGTTGGCGAGGGCGGTATTCTGCTTTTTGCTTCTCGGACTTTCACGTCACCGTACCATAAAAATGAGAATGAAAATAAAAAAACCTTGAAAAGAGATCTTATACACTACTTCCTAATTTTCAGACCTTTACACTCTTCCTCCCTCCTTCACAGCTTCAAATCCTTCACCCATTCATTCTATTCCCTCCCTCTCCCTCCCCACCCCTCATCCTCACCCGATACTTACAGATCCCTACGGACCGGAATCTATTTCCCTTCGTTCATCAATCAACTTGATAACCCCCACGGACGACCTCCAACCCCCCGTGCACTTCCAGATTCGGGTTCGGTTAGTAGAGTAAGGTGGAAGGTGACGTGGCGAGTTTTTCTTTTGGCGTTTCTTTACGTTGGGTACCTCGTGGTGTTGGAGGTGTGAAGGTGAGTGATAAGGGATGGGTTTTAAGATGTACTGTAAGTACTTTGGGAAGATAAATTCTACTCCAGGGTTAGGGTTATTAATGAATGGGTGTCAACACGTGAAAAGTATGGTTAAAAAACTGATGAGAGCAAGAGTCCTAGAAGCTATGATGTGAATCGATAGACAACTTTCGCCTTGAAGGCTCATCAGGGAGTGTAAATTGCTTTGTTTAAATACCCAACAGTTGTCGCGCACTGGGCGTGACTGGACTACCGGAGTAATTGAAGTGAGGGGTTGGAGTGACAGGCGCGACGGGTTAGGGTTAGGGTTAGGGTTAGGGTTAGGGTTAGGGTTAGGGTTAGGGTTAGGGTTAGGGTTAGGGTTAGGGTTAG